GAAAAAACTATTAGGAATGCACTGTATAGTCGCTCCCATGCGTATGACCCAAGCCGACCCGGCTAGCTCCGCCTGTAGCACTAACTGCGTGTGTGACTCACCACTGAAGCGGTGATTCGTGAGAGATCACTGCCACGTCACCGGTAAAGTATAGAGCTAGCAGCACAGCAGCGTGTAACCTCAAGCTTAGAATCACCCCAAGACAATAAACATCCCGTGGTCTTCCACAACTTGAGAGAGTGCGACTCTCACTTAATCATGCAGGCCATCGCGAAAGTCGACGGCAACCTGGCGATGCATCCCCAACAACATGGAGAGATACATCTCCTTCAGCTTGAATGGCCTGAGGTTCATCGACTCGATTCAGTTCCTCCTGTCGTCACTCGACAGTCTGGTCAAGGCCAACTATACCTTCCCCATCACCGATCGATACACCAACGCCGAGACTCGACCCCTGCTGATGAGGAAGGGTGTGTACCCCTACGAGTACATGGATGGCTGGGCCAAGTTCACATAGACCCGACTACCCCCCATCAGAGAATTTTAAAGCAACCTGACCGACTCGACAATATCCCAAGACGATTACTCGCGCGCGTGATTAACGTATGGAATAAACTGGGCTGTAAGAATCTGGGTGACTATCACGACCTGTACGTTTAGGCGGACGTGTTTCAAGCAGTATCAACTCGACCCCGCATGGTACTACACCAGCCCAGGTCTGTCGTGGGATGCATTGCTGAAAAAGCCCGGAATTAAGTTGGAATTGCTCACCGATTACGACATGCACCTATTCATTGAGAAAGGCTTGCGAGGTGGGATTTCCATGGCAACCAAACGATACGCGAAAGCAAATAATCAATACGTGAAGGGCTACGACCCGAGCAAGCCAACCAATCACATTCTCTACCTCGACGCCAACAATCTGAACGGCTGGGCCATGAGCCAGTATCTACCCATAGGGGGATTCGAATGGGCAACGCATGAGGTCGATGTTATGAGCATCGCGGACGATTCGAGTAAAGGCTATATCCTCGAGGTTGACTTGGAATACCCAAGGCATTACACACATCAAACAACAGCCACCCCCTGGCCCCCGAACGTGTGAGGGTTAACCCAGACTGGATGTCTGAGTACCAACATAACTTGTTAGGTGGGCGGGTGGCAGACGTTGAAAAACTCGTGCCCAACTTAATGAATAAGACCAAGTACATCGTTCACTATCGCAACCTACAGCTGTACCTGTCGTTGGGTATGAGGTGACATACATCAGAATGAACACAGACCTGCGAAAGCTTGCCACCAGTGACTTTGAGAAAAATCTCTACAAGCTCATGAACAACTCGGTGTTTGGTAAGACTATGGAGAACCTGAGGAAACGCGTGACCGTGAAGCTGGTTCGGTCGAATGAGGAAGACAAGCTCAGGAGACTGATAGCCAGCCCGGCATTCAACCGGAGCAAGATATTCACCGACGACCTGGTTGCCCTACACATGAAGAAAAGCCACATCAAATTCAACCGGCCTGTTTACGTGGGGATGAGCATCCTCGATTTATCCAAACACCTGATGTACGACTTTTACTACAACGAGCTGAAGAAACAGTACGACGACAGGTGTGAAGTGCTGTACACTGACACGGATTCCCTGCTGATGGAGATTCGAACCGAGGACGTGTACGAGGACACCAGTGACTACCCCAAGGACCATGCCATACACAGCACGGTAAATAAAAAGGTCCTAGGTAAGATGAAGGACGAGTGTGCTGGCAAGCCCATAGCCGAGTACATAGGCTTGAGGCCTAAGATGTACTCCATCCTGAAGGCCGACAATGGTGAGATCCGGAAGGCGAAGGGTGTTAAGAAGTACGTGGTGAAACAACACATCAAACACGCCAGATTCAAGGAAGCCCTGTTCAAGACCCGTACCTTCAGGCATAAAATGAACACGCTTAGAAGTGATGGGCATAGGATATACGGACAGGATATACGGACTGACGATAAACAAGACGTCCCTGTCGCCGATGGACACTAAACGTTGGATAGCTATTGATGGGATAAACACGTACGCGTCACGGGCATGAGAAAATTGAACCAAGAACATAGGTGTATATATATCGGGGCGACATGTCACGGAACCAGAGAAAGTTTGAGGCTATTTACTACAGCCCGCGTGGGAAAAGAGTTAGCGCCGTACATAAGCTGGCCAAAATGGCACGAGTACCCCCGGAGGAGGCCAAAGCCTGGCTTGGAAAACAAGCCCTGTGGCAGATCTATTTACCGGCACCACGCTACGTGCCTAGAAGGAAGTTCGGTATTAACATACCCAATAGCGTTCACCAGGCCGACCTCCTGTTCCTACCCCACGACAAGAGGTACAAATATGCCCTAACCGTCGTGGACGTTGCCAGTGGCTACAAGGAAGCCGAACCCTTGACCGTGAAAGACTCGTCCCAGGTAGCCCGCGGATTCGAACGCATATACAAGCTCAGTCCGCTGACGTGGCCCACAGAGCTGCAAGTTGACCCCGGGCGGGAGTTCATGGGTGTTGTGTCACACCTGCTGGACAAACACGATACCAAGGTCAGGCGTGGCACGGCCGGAGCCCATCGCAGCCAAGCCATAGTTGAGAGATTCAATAGGACTTTGGCTGAGCGCTTATTCGGACATCAGTATGCGAGAGAGATGACCAACCCGGGGAAACGATCGACTGAATGGGAAGCGCGGCTACCTCAGGTGGTGTCGGCCATCAACCATGAAGCCACTCAGCTCACTGGCAAGAAACCAGCCGACGCTATCAAACTAAAATCAATAGTGGCAGAGTCGGCTGCACCATTGCGTGGGAAGGAGAAACAGATACCAGATAGGGCCCTCGTGAGGTACCTATACCAGCCCGGGGGAGCACGAGGGTGATAGTCGTAAGCGAGCCACCGATACGATATGGTCGGTCAAAACTTACAATATAGATAAAGTGGACATCAAAGCCGACGAGCCGAACTTGTACTACTTGAGAGAAGGGCCAGGGAAAGGGTTCGTTAGACAGGAATTATTGATCATACCGTACGGTACAATGTTACCCCCTGTCAACACATCATAGCGGCACAATAGTGCCACGTGGGGTCGGGGAGTTAACTGGGGGTTCAAAAGTAGTAGATACAATGGTGGCGAGATCTAAGGGCCTGACAAAAGCTTTATTTGTGAAATAAAGCTTTGCAGAGGCTTTTGTTGGACTTGATCCCGGACTATCATTATATATACTACTTTATACAGAATCATTTTTTTTCACCGTGAAGTGTAATGAGACAAACAACATACACTAGGTCGTACTTGTGGCGTGTTTGTGAAATAATACATAACTGACGTTGGCAATCTATAAAATGTCTAGATATTACTGTCATATTATAAATTCTCAATGAGTATAAGCAGATCGTGTGCATTTTATCAGTTTTCAAAATGCATACAAATATGACAATAAACTAATTAGGATTATAAGACAAAATATAAAGACGTACATTGACTTAGTTATTTTTCAGTCCTAACATTTTTCACAACTGGCAGATGGTTAAACTTCAAAATGTTTTTATTTGTTATCGGGTAAAAAAGATTTCCTCTTTGTTGATCAATCTATACTATCAATTGTGCATGCGGGTAGCGCAGCAGAGGTCATGAACCAGTCAAGAATTCTGGGATATCATCCGGGTACTCACGGGAGAAAAACAATAACAAAAGCAACAACCAGTCCACGAAAATTGCTTCACTACCAACATCTGCAACATCAAAGAGATCTAATAATAGTTGCAGAAGCCACTAAAATCAATATGTGCAATCTCCTCCTCAATAATGACAGGGGAAAAGATTATGGTTCAAAGAGGTAACCATTTGATAAATACTGCCATAGCCCCTGCATATATTGTGATAGGGGAGAGACATAGTTGACCAAAGTAAGACACTCTGTTACTAATAAAGCCTTGTGATATTCTAAATTGTCAGCCATTAAAAAAAAAATACTGCATAAATTTTGGTATCTCACTTTACTGAAGTCTCAACAGTAGAGCTGGGATGGGTTACTCATATACCTGGGTCCTGAATAAACTACCGGTACCTGTTTCACCATGTGACTGGCCTTGTGGAACTCATAGTCTGATACCATAGATCAATTCAGAGAACCAAAATGATGAATCAAGTCAATAATTATCTTGTGATATCTTTTGTAGAGTGTAAGATATATATCTTTGGAATTTCTGATTAGGCCAGACCAATTTCATTTCTTGTTTCACGGATCCACCGCTCGTAATTTTTCAAGAATAAGAAAAAAATTAAAATTATTTTTCCCCACTCCCAAAAATGTTTTATTGGCCAAAAATGTAAACTTACAAGAAAATGTTGAATTCTGCCCCATAAACACATAATAAATTGCCAAAAGTAAAATACTTATAGTATTTAGAAGGAATGTTACTTTGACTGGTGATTTTATTTTTATTCCCTCCTGCCTTTAGATTTCTGAGGACAAAATCTGTAAAACAAGAAATAAAATTGGTCTGGCCTTAATACAGAAGTAAATATATGACGAAATTTCAATAGTGTGTGATTTCAGTTCATCAAAATATTACCACACACCCCTTTTCAGTCGCCATGACTGTCATGTAAGTAAAGGAATTACCTCTAAATAAAGTTGTATAGGGTTCCCCCCTTTTTTAGACAGTGAAAGCTTTGGAAAAGAACACAGAAGATTGTAGCCCTTGTGGCAGAAACTTGTGACACTATTGATGGGTTCTGATTACATCAAATCAGTGAAATGTAATATCCACTGGAAAAGGAATGCTTTCTAAAAGGAAATTACTCTGGAATTTGCATCTCGCCAGTTAAGAAAATAACACCCACTAAAACACCCCCACAAAAACCGCAGATAAAGAAGACTTTTAAAGTAAGTACAGCTTTGGTTTTTATGTGATTAAAGGAATGGCATGACAATGCATGAATAATAGACATCAAATGCATGTCTCACCTGATTGATTTCATCCACACATCTGAATGGGGATTTGGCTAGTTCTTGTAGCGCGCCATCATGTAAAGAACAGTAGCCACACTCCTTTCACCTCCACTCTGATGATGAGGGGTCAACTCTCTCAGTGGTTCACCATCACGATATTTCACTTTTATCCTGACTCCATATTTTTCATAGTCTTCCTGAAATATATAACAAATGTACCTTTGAGGATTTGTTCTAATCTGACCATGAATTAATCCTATCATTCACAGACACAGCGGTTTCAGACATAACCTAAGTGTCCTTGTTTCTTATTTGACAAGGCACAGGAAGTGGGAGGTGGCTTGAGAGTTAAGTCATGCACATTCATGGGTGCATCATTTGTTTAGTAGCTGACCTTATATGTTTGAGTAGACAGTGGGTGACAATAACCTATTCTAAAAAACAGTGATATTATACACATATCCTCCTAAGACAGCACACCATTTCACCCAAGTGGACTCCTGTGGCCGTATGCAAATGTCGAGCGTAAGGTTAAACCTGTATGCATATGTTCGACAAAGCTAAAGTTATGCAAGGCGTAGCGTTCTATATTTGCGCCACCTACCCTGCAGGCGTAGCCCTGTAATGGTGGCAGTCGTATACCGATATTGAGGATGACAGTTCTACAGAAACCATATATTTAGAGAAAGGTCAAATCCTTTAGAATTATACGACCTTGATCGGTACAGAAGATTTAGATTCAGGAGAACTGACATTTTCAAGATAGTGGATACAATTAGGGGAGATATTGATTATGGCTCCTACTGCAATTCCACTCTTACCCCCGGAAATACTGGTACTTGTAGCCTTATGGTCTTATGCTACGGGATCATTTCAAAATGTAGTAGGGGATACTGTCAATGTTCATCAATCTATGGTTAGTCAGAGTTTCGTCGTCTCTTCAATGGCGAATGAATCAGTGGATCTACTTTCCTGACCAAAATGAACTAGTAGCACTGAAAGACATGTTTTACAACATGGCAGGGTTTCCCGGTGTAGTTGGATGTGTCGACAGAACACATCTTAGGATCCAGGCTCCAAAAATACCCCAAGAATATAATTATGTCATCAGAAAAGGGTACTACTCTATAAATGTTGAAGGTGTGATGCAAGTCTGAGAGTGTTAAACTGTGTTGTAAAGTGGCCTGGTTCTGCTCATGACTCACGGATGCTGGAGAGTCAAATGTTTGTTGATTTTGAAAACAGACGGCATCATGGCTGATGACACCTGTCAGGAATCCCTGATCAAGACAGGAGGAAGGTGATAACTATGCACATGCATCAGCAAGGAACTGTATTGAGAGATGCTTCGGCTTGATGAAGTGCTGGTTCCATTGTGTTCACTCGTAGTTAATAAGATACCCGCCAAAACGATGTTGTGCTATTATAAGTGCAGTGTTTGTGCTACAAAACATGGCTATTGAGTTCGAGACTACCCTGGAAGACGACTATAAGGGTGATGACTGATGGGGACAATGATAGGGCTGGGACGATTCACCAATACATCACGATACATTTAAGTTTGATACAGCTATCGTATCCTTGACTGGTATATCGATACACAAATTTATTTCAAAACAGTATTATCTTAAACATGTTAAAGTACTTATTTCGAGAAAATACGTATGTATGATCGAGTTACTTGTTTGTTTATTACAATAGTGTAATTGTTATACACAAATACCTTGAAATAAATCATTTAAATCTTAATACTGTGTCATTCTTTCAAGGTGTATGTATCGTGATACGTATCCTATCGCAGGGAAAATATCGCGATACGTATCATATTGTGACATAGTGTATCATCCCAGCCCTAGACAATGACATTCATAACGTAGCTGAACCCCACCATGCCAAGTGAAAAAGACACTATTGCTCCATCTTTAATGTTGGGTTTTCTCAGTTTTGTTTGGCTTTCCATGATTATGGATGCAGAAATTTGCGTCCTGTAAATCCCTGCGGAGGGTCTGAACCTCGCTCCCGAGACACATGGAAGCAGCCTGACAATTCAGGGTTTCCCTGGTACTTGGGTAGACCTCAGAATGCCGAGGTGAGCGGTAGCTCTGTCACACTCAACAGCCTCTTGGCTATCAGCACCGAGGATCTGCTCTGTACCGGGCTGAAGCATGTGTCGGTGTGAGTTCCCAGGTTCAGAGCGTCTCCGGAGCTGAAGCTCCCCATCTCATGCTTGAAAACAGTATAAGCATCTATAGCGAAACATTGCAATAGTACAATATAGAAGTTGATCATCCACTTGTCATTCCTATTACTTACAACTTCTAGAATGCTTCTCAAACAGTTAATTATAATACACGCAACAAGAATCCCTAATCTAAAGTGTAGAAGCGAAATGCGTTCCATATATCACCCATGCAATTAGAAAAGAACGATACATACAGTATTTGTTTCTTTCTCACTTATCTTTATCTTTGTTTACTTGGAATTCAACTTTCAAAAGTTTTCTGGAGAGCACACACGTCTTCACCATGTGAATGAAAACATGGGAGTTACAAGGTTGAAGGTTTGTGTTACCTTCTTTTGGCTGTGGGGCCCTGCAGTGGTGGTCGAACATGACAAGAACTAATTTTTTGTTTTGTAAATATTTTATTCAAAATATAGTTACAACTGTCATAGGAATTTTTAATGAACATAAAAATACTTATAAGTACCCCAAGGGGGGACCTCTTCTGAAAAAGAATACCCAAGTTGAATGAAGGACCTGATCAAAGCAGTTGATAGTACAGGAGTGTTTGCAGACGGTCCTGTTTAAAGAGCCAATATTAGCAGAGGAGGAACAAGACATGGCTGAGCAGAACTTGCTTAATGTGATTTCTCAGATTATTTTCCAGTTTCTGCAATTGGTTTGCTATTCAGCATCGATTCATACCCTTCAATGCCATATATTACTGTAGATAAGCCGAATTTTGAAGACCAAAAACAGAAGTCTGTAGAAGGGGGTCGGCTTATCTATCGGTTACACTTTCGACAAACTTTTTTCCAGGGGGTAAGAAAATGACATTGTATCACTGCGCATGAACAAACAAGAGAAGACAACTTTGCCAGTAAAGACGTCAAATTTGCATTTAAACATCACTAGGCAAGATTACTTACCTTTACAGTTCTAATTTGTTTTTGCTGGGCATTGTATTATTTGAAGGGATTAAGATTACCCTGTGTATTTGTCTTGTATACAGAGCCAGAAATACCAATCAGCTGTGCACACGTTTCCTGGTGATCTACCAGTGATTTAGTTAAAACACACACAATAATATAATGGGATGAATTTTAATACATAGAACTATTATTTAACCGAAAGAAATATATCCTAGCATTGTGTAATTTTAATTACAGGTTTTGCTCTATAAATGTAAAATATGTATAATCAACACTAAGGTTATATGGACCCTCAGGAACATGGTAAGGAGAAGTTGTACATGCATGGAATGAGGTGAAATAAGCATGCAATTCAAATTCACACACATTTTCACTGATGTTACTGTAAACTAGCGGTCCATGGATAACGAGGCTGTAATCAGTTCGTGATTGTTGATAATATGTGAAATTGGTGCTATCGCGGTTGGAGTGAAAAACGTACCCTCTCGAACATGGTAAGTGGAAGTTGTACGCACATAGAATGGGGTAAAATAAGCAAGCCAGTTTGTTGACATGTGATCATCCAGCTACAATAAGTATGATATTTAGCTAAACAAAATATATTATTCATTTTCTGTCAATTACACTTCATTTTGAGGCGTGAGTAGACACAATATGATTGTGAATTCTTTGAAAAATGCATACCGAAGTTGTAATTATCGTTAACTGCCACTTGTCTGTGGTCTGAGTTTGCCGCGATTAGGCTTATGTACGAAACATACCATTTGACACTGATTTCTATAAGGGTCAAGTTTGGGGTCAGCTTACCTATGGGGTCGGCTTATCTATAGTAATATACGGTACATCAACTCATGATGGTTTCTTTAAGTGGCATTTAGAAGCTGGTATGATGAAGAGGAACACATTTTATGGATTAACAAATTCTTTACTGCAATATATGTGACATTTAGGTGTAGATGCTAACATCATTATCAAACAAGTAATACACAAGTTCTACTGTCAGCTGGTGTTCCTGTAGTGTATTCACTGCAGATCTACTGTCAATCTTGGTTGTTCCCATAGTGTATTCACTGCAGTTCTACTGTCAATCTTGGTTGTTCCCATAGTGTATTCACTGCAGTTCTACTATATCAGACTTGGTTGTTCCCAAAGTGAATATTCACTGCTGTTTTACTGTCAAACTTGGTTGTTTCTGTATTCCCACCAGTTCTACTGTCAGACTTGGTTGTTCCTGTATTCCCACCAGTTCAACTGTCAGACTTGGTTGTTCCTGTATTCCCACCAGTTCTACTGCCTGACTTGGTTGTTCCTGTATTACCACATGTTCTACTGTCAGACTTGGTTGTTCCTGTATTCAGCAGTTCTATTGTCAGACTGGTTGTTCCTGTGTTCCTACTAGTTCTACTGTCAGACTTGGTTGTTCCTGTATTCCCACCAGTTCTACTGTCAGACTTGGTTGTTCCTGTATTCGGCAGTTCTACTGTCAGACTTGGTTGTTCCTGTATATCCACCAGTTCTACTGTCAGACTTGGTTGTTCCTGTATTCCCACCAGTTCTACTGCCAGACTTGGTTGTTCCTGTATTCAGCAGTTCTACTGTCAGACTTACTTGTTTCTGTATTCCCACCAGTTCTTCTGTCAAACTTGGTTGTTTCTGTATTCCCACCAGTTCTACTGTCAGACTTGGTTGTTCCTGTATTCCCACCAGTTCTACTGCCAGACTTGGTTGTTCCTGTATTCAGCAGTTCTACTGTCAGACTTACTTGTTTCTGTATTCCCACCAGTTCAACTGTCAGACTTACTTGTTTCTGTATTCCCTGCAGTTCTACTGTCAGACTTAGTTGTTCCTGTATTCAGCAGTTCTACTCTCAGACTTACTTGTTTCTGTATTCCCTGCAGTTCTACTGTCAGACTTGGTTGTTCCTGTATTCAGCAGTTCTATTGTCAGACTGGTTGTTCCTGTGTTCCTACTAGTTCTACTGCCAGACTTACTTGTTTCTGTATTCCCACCAGTTCTACTGTCAAACTTGGTTGTTTCTGTATTC